TGGAGAGTGCATATGGTGTGTGCATCTTGCTGTGAATGTGACTACACAGTGTTTTCTTTCCTTTCATTTACTCTTTTTATGGTGCTTTGAGGGTGGGGTGAACCCAGAGCTTTATGCATGCTATACCTGTGCTATTTACACACTGAGCTACTTCAGAGTATCCTGTGATATCCCCTGGCCTCTGGCTACTTTATCTTAATTAAGACTACTGGAGTTGGAGGTTTAATTATATTGATTTTCTTTCTTTTTTCCTCTTGCAGCCACCACTTATATCTAGCTGCTGCCTGTTAATTTCAAACACGTTCTGTGTCCCTTTTATAAGGACCCTTGTGACTACACTGGGCCCACCTGAAAATTCATGGTGATTGCTTCATCTCAAAATCCTTAATCACATCTACAAGGTCCCTTTTGCCATGCAAGGTAACATAGTCTCTTATTCCAGGAGTTAGGATGCAGCCATCTTTGGGGGTACATTATTCCACCTGCACCAACTCAGAGAGTCGTTAGGTGACTTACCTGAGATAATGCATGTGAAGTACATAGCACCATTCCTAACACATGATCAACACTGTGTCTTGCTGTAACTCGATTATATTGCTTGGGTTAAAGAATGTCAGTTCACTTTCACTTTATCTTTTTTCATAGTGCTTGTGTTCTAATAATATTTTATTACATTTCTATGTTTATTATTATTACTGTTATTTAATGGGCTTCCCATGCATTGGCCATTACTTCTTCTCCACTTTAGAAAAGGACACTTAACTTTATAAAAGTTGGGCAAATCCTAAATCTTTATAGCTAATGAGAACTAAGGTCTGTTTCATGCTGATACCCTCAACTCTGGCTTTCTTCCTCTTTACTCTTGGTTTTTCTTCTTCTCCAGACCTTATCTGGTTTCTCACATCCATTTTGGAGTGTGATAGGGTCACACTCCAGTTCCTTGGGAGGCAAGAAGAACTTCTCCACCTGTGAGTCATCTTCCTCCTGTGAACCATTTCAGTTCCAGAGCCTGTGTAATCCCCCTTCTCACTTCTACACCAAGGAGGCAGCATTGTGATGAACTGCCCCTGGGCTCCTGCTCACAGTCAGCTTGGTGCTGGCTCTTTTAGTGTTCATGATACAGTTATTTTATGTGTCTGAATGAAAAAAAAAAGGGTTTTTTTCTTAGTCCCCAGCTCTCCTAGTGCCAACTATAATTTGATGAGCGAATTTCAGTAATTGTCACTTACACTGAAGTTCATAATTTAAAAATTTTTAATGATTATTTTTTGTGGGGAGTGGATTATGAGAAGCCTATGAGAACTTGACAAAAGCACAGCTATGTCAAATAATCTGTAGGCTGAGTTGGCACAGCCCCAGCCGCAGAAGGGGGTAAGGGCAAAATGCAGCACAGCTACTTTTCCTAAGATGTTTATGTTCACAGAGTAGCAATCACAGGTTCCTCCTGTTCCTGATAGCTACAATGTCATGGCCCCCCACACCCCAGAACTGTTGCTCCACCTTCTTGTTTGCACTGTGTATAATAAACTCACTGGAGGTAGATGAGGCTGTTGTGTGGCTCTATCAGAGCACCCAGCCCACCTGACCCCAGCTTTCTGATGTTTGTCTTCTGTCTTTTGTCCTTTCTCAATCTCCTGTTGCTCCCAGTTAGGTTTCTAGGACAAGAATTTTTCTAGTTTCCCAAACTAAATTAGACTCTTCCTCATTGAAGTCAGAGAGCCTGCTCATCAGATACTGTACAGTGTCTTGTATGTAGAACTTACATAGTAAATTTAGTCTTGTGATGTCGCACTAAAAATGAACATTTGAAGGCAAGTGAGGAAGGTCACCTGTGTGGCTCTACAACTGCACAAGGTTGCAATTTTATGGTTAGAAAATCATAGGAGTCATTTGGGAACCTCAGCTTGGGAGGTTCCACTATGTTACCTCCTTAAGGGAACCAGCACCCCCATGCTGCACAGCTTCAAGACATGCCATTTATGTTGTCATGAATGTGAACAGTGCTTTTGGAGCTGTCTATAGAGGAACTTGCATCAGAGGAACTGCCACTGAAAAACAACTTATTAGTTAACAAATGCAGTTGGCCTTCCATATTTGTGGACTTGACATCTATAGATTCAATCAACCACAGATTGAAAATAGTTAGAAAAAAATTTCATCTGCACTGGGCATGTACAGACTTTTTTTTCTTATCATTACTCCCTAAACAATACAGTGTACAATATATTTGCAAAGCATTTACATTGTATTAGGCACAGGTTATATAGAACTGCAAGTTATATGCAAAAGCTACACTATTTTATTTAAGGGATTTGAACATTTATGGATTTTGATATCTGTCTTGGAAGTCATGGAGCCAATGCCCTATGGATACTAAGGAACTGTTGTGTGTATTAGGGCACAAACAGAAATAAAAATGTGTCAATTCAATTTCAGTCTCATGATTCTGACAAATCATTCTTCCCATTTTTCTTTGATGTTCTCTCCTTCTTTCCATAGACAGACAGTATTTTTGAATATCTAGTCTAGAGTAGTCTATAATTTAGTGTTTGCCTTAAGTTATGCTATTAGATTTTCTGTTATCACAGTGCCTGTCATTGCTGATATTGTTGATGGCAGCTTAATTATTGCACCATATGGATTGCAATTAATTATTTGAGTTGGGTACCAGTGGCTCATGCTTGTAATCCTAGCTACTCAAGAGGCAGAGATCAAGAGGTTTGAAGCCAGCCCAGGCAAATAGCTCCCAAGACCCTATCTTGGAAATACTCAACCAGAAAGGGGCCCAAGTGGTAGAGCACTTGCCTTGCAAGTGTGAGGTCTTGAGTTCAAACCCTAGTACCACAAAAAAAAAAAACTATAAAAATTATTTGCCCGTTTGCAAATTAGCTTATTTCCAGTGTCTTACTATTATAAAGGACGAGCAGAAGACACAGGAGTTCTTATTTGCTCACCTTGAACTATGTATCTGTTATTATGCTTCACACTTACCTATTTTTTTTTTTTTTGAGACAGGATTTCACCTAGGCTGGCCTTGAACTCTCAATTCTCCTGCCTTAGCCTCCCAAGTGCTGGCATTATAAGCATGCACCACCACATCTGGCTCAGTGATCTCATTTAATCCTCTGAATGGTTATTTATAAAACTGAGGCTGGTTAAACAGTGTTCTAATATGAGCTGATGTATATTGAATTCTTATTCTCTGTCAGACACTTTACTCAAAATTTTTCATAAAAATCTCACAGATAATTAAAGAGTGTTTAAGGTGTCACATCAGAACTCAGAAAGAAAAAATTTGAACCCAGGTTTTCTAACTCTAAAATTCGTGATCAGTATAATGTTAGCTCTATGAGGGTAGTGTTTTTTTCCGTATTATCTTTGTTCTTTGCTGTGTCCCCAGTACTAGCCATTTATTTATTTAAGCACATGTTAATTGTAAACAGGGATTCCACTGTGATGTTTTCATATGTGTTTAACACACTTCCCAGTGCTAAGAAGGATGCCTGGCACGTATTTGTGCTGAATGAAGATTTGTTTAATGAGAGACATTGAATGGTTTCAACACTGCAAGCAGCTTGAGTTCAGGTTTCTTTGGTTTTCCAAACCTTCATTTTTTTCCTGCTATTTCACTGTCTCAGGTAGAGGTGAATAGAAAATAGATTTACACACACAAATACACACACACTTTTATGAATTTATATATGTGTGATCTTTTTACTATTTAACATTTTTACTCCATTAAATTTTTTATTAGACTCTTGTTTTCTTCAGAACAATTTTACATTCACAGCAAAATCAAGCAGAAGCTGATGAGTAACCAAGGGCTTCTAAATTTTGTCAATTATGAATAAAGCTGTTATAAACATCGATATACAGATATTTCCCTCATCTCCTCACCCCATACATGCATAGCCACCCCTTTTATGAATGCCCCTCAATTATACGTTGGTTATAGTTGATGAACCTACATGGGTACATAATTATCACCCAAAGTTCATAGCTTACATTAGGGCATTTGTGGTATTGCACAGTGTGTGGGTTTGGACAATGTAGAATCATCTGTCCGCTACTATGGTAATATACAAAGTTTCTCTGCTCTGCCTATTCTCCAGTCCTTGGTAACCAGTGATCTTTTTGTTGTCTCCTTAAGTTTTCCAGAATGTTATATAGACTACACCCTTTGCAGATTGGCTTTTTCCCTTAGCAATATGCACTTAATGTTCCTCCATGTCTTTCCATAGGTTGATAACTCATTTCCTTTTAGGACTAGATAATACTCCATTCTCTGGCTATATACTAACATTTATTTACACATTCACTGGTAGAAGGACATCTTGGTTATTTGCAGACCTTAGCAATTATTAATAAAGCCACCATAAGCATCTACTTGCAAGTTTTTGTGTGGACCTAAGTTTTCAGCTCCTTTAGGTAAAATATCAAGGAGCATGACTGCAAGGTTGTATAGTAAGAGAATGGTTAGTTTTGTAAGAAACTGCCAAACTGTCTCACAAGACAGCTCTACCATTTTGCATTTCTGTTAGCAGCAAACATAAGTTCCTGGTGCTATACATCTTCAGTGGCAGTTGACATTGTTAATGTCTTCAGATTTTGGCCATTCTAATAGGTGCATCTTGCTCTATGTGTGACTGTTTTTCTCTTGGTTTGCTTTGTTAGAAATCATTGTGGAAATACAGTTACTAGAGCAAATTATAGAAACATCTCTGTATGTTCTTAAAATACATTAAATATTTTTGGGGTGGTTAAATTAGTGTTTTGTTACCAGACATGCAAAAATAGTTCAGTTTTGCTGCGCCCCTGTCAGTATTGTTTTAAAAAAATTGTTGCTAATGTTATATAGGTACAAAATGCTAACTCAACATTTTAATTTGTTTCTGTGTAACCATTTGCTTTGTTATCTTTTGGTAATTATCTGTTTAGCAAGATACCATGTTCATTCTGAAACTTGGGGCTGCTATCTCTTAAACATGAATGGTTTTCAGGTCCCAAACCAGTTGTCTATCTGCAGCATGGCTTGCTAGCAGACTCCAGTAACTGGGTGACCAACCTTGACAACAGCAGCCTGGGCTTCATTCTTGCGGATGCTGGTTTTGATGTGTGGATGGGAAATAGCAGAGGAAACACCTGGTCTCGGAAACACAAGACTCTTTCAGTTTCTCAGGATGAATTCTGGGCTTTCAGGTACATTGTAGTTGATTATGACATGGGTCTGTTTCTTGAAGTAGACACATGAGAATTCAGCAAAAGAGACAAATTTGTGAATAACTTTGAAATCTTATGAGAGGAGACTTGATGTCTCTTGAAGTGTATTAAATCTTCCCAGGAATTTAATAACTAGCAGCAAGGTAAACTATAAATAAATTATTGGGAGCTTTTACCAAAAGGCAGGCTTCAGAATATTGTCACACTATTTGTAATAGTGAAAAGCTGAAAAATTCTCAAGTGCATGTCAGCTGTGAATGGAATAAGTGTTCAAATACAGTGTGATATACTAAATAATAAAGTGAAGATAGATAATACAACTCATGTACCAACATGTGTGAAGCCAGATATGGAAGAGATATACTGCATAATCTTATTTACAAAAAAAATTCTAAAATGAGTGAAACTAATTTATAGTGTGAAGAATGAGGATAATGGTTACCTTTGGAAGGGAGTCCAGTCCTGTGGTCTTCTTGGAAATGTTCAGTTTTCTGAACATTTAGTTCTGGTTTACTTAGTTTGTGATAATTCCTCAAACTCCATGCTTAGTTTGTGTGTGCTGTTCTATTTTATGTACTATTTCAATAAAAGTGTTCCTTTTTTTTTGGATTATAGTTTTGATGAGATGGCAAAGTATGACCTCCCAGCTTCAATTAACTACATTCTGAGTAAAACTGGTCAAGAACAAATATATTATGTGGGCCATTCTCAAGGCACCACAATAGGTATGTATGGAATAAAGATTGGAATTAATACAATAGGTATGTACAGAATAAAGATTGGAATTGATGTGATGCCTTACTGCAGAGCAGACATTTGTTTTAAAAAGTGAAATATAAAAAGTGTAGTTCAAATAAAGGTTTGATTAAAACAGTAAGGAGAAATCACAGGATTTTGGCCTTCTATGGAAACTCAGACTACAGTATAAATTGGTAAATATGGTATATGGTTCTCTTAAAATTGAAAGAATTGATGTAAGCCATATTCTATTATGTATTTTCCCAATTAAGCAATATAGGGATGTGAGAGGGTAGAAAAAAGGAAATTTTCTAAGGTCAAAGAGTTCAAAAGAAAATATGCTATCTTTTAAAGTTAAGTGGGAGTGGGGATATACCTCAGTGCTAGAGTACTTGTCAACCATGCATAAAGCCCTGGGTTTTATCCCCAACAACACAATAAACAAACAAACAAATAAATAAGTAAATAAATAAAAGATAATAAAAAGTATAAAGTTAAGTAGAATGTAACTAACTACAAGAATGATAGATTACACTTTACAGTTTTTAAAAGCTATGTGTGTATTTTATTTATGCTGATTACAAAATTAATGCTCTTATTACAAAGAAAAATAGAAAATATCAAAGTTTAAAGAGATGAATTTCTCATAATCTAACAAGCAAGTTTCTGTCCTGAGGGGCTAGGGAACCGGTCCTATATTTATTTAATTCTCCTATTTCATGTTTACTATGGCTAACACCTTTGTGTTTGTCACGTGATGTTCTTAGACTACATTCTTACAAGGAGAATTAACTGTGTGAAAGGTATGAATGCTTTTTAAGCATGTTGATACATATGGTTAAATTGCCTCAGCCTCAGGAAAGTAGAGTTGGACATTCTTCATTTATATTTCTTCTTTCATGACTAATTTACTTGTGTCCTGTGCCATACTGTTTTCTAGAGTGACATTCTAGGATCAGATGGTAACAAAATGACCTGAGTGAAGGTTAAAGGATAATTTAAAGCCAGGGAATTCTAAATGTTTGCATTCCTTTTGAGTCTTTGCTGTCTATTTGAATGGTTTGTGAATTAGGAATAGAGGGAGGGGCAGGGGAATGAAAATGTTGGACTGAAGCTACAGAAATACTGACTTCTGGTTTGCATTGTTAAAGGAGCTGGGAAGATTTTCTTGTTCTCGGAACCTGGATTTCTTCTCATGCATATCTAGGTTTATATTCAGAACAAGCACCCAGCAAATACTTGATTTGCTAGTTTAGTTAAATTTAGTGCTTGAGCACACAGTTTAGAGGGTCCCTTTTCAAGTGCTTTGCCTCCTAAGGGCAATGCTACTTGGATGGTTCTCAGGTTGCCTCTGGAAGGTGTCATGAATGACCCTTCTTGTGTTTTCTGAAAGAAAGTCCCAAAAAGTGGAATTCCTCTTATCTTCTTTTTTTTCCCACAGCCTTTATAGCATTTTCACAGATCCCAGAGTTGGCCAAAAGAATTAAAATGTTTTTTGCCTTGGCTCCTGTGGTTTCACTGAGTTTCTGTTTAAGCCCTCTAACCAAATTAGGACGACTGCCAAGTCTTGTCATTGAGGTATGTGGTTCACCCCCCCGCCCTTTTGCCCTTTTTCTCCCCTCCCCACAAATTTCCTCTTTTAGAGCTGAAGAGTTGCCTATTTCAGGGAGAAACTGTGACATCCTCCTCTGAGTTTGCTATTAGTGTAGCAGTGGGTTTTTCCCTTCTCTCCTACTTCTTATGCCAGGGGAACCTGGTGAGGAGGGTTGCAGGGGGAGAGCATTAACTATACACTGTAGCTGTGGGTACTCATGGCTGACATGTTAGTCCAGCTCTCTACCCACCACCCAAAGAGAGCATGAGAGAGTGCGAGAAAGTAATTTAAACATTCATAGTGTTGCTGTACACAGCAGTAGACACAGGAGACAGGAAATGCACGATTCTCACGGCCCATCTGTAGCCACATTAAGGGTGATCTAAAGTCACTGTTTTATCATATTTTATAGTATGACCCCTAAACACTCAGCCCTAAAGCTATGTAGCTCCATGCTATTCAAGGAGGAAACGACACTCATGAGAATGTGTTTCAAGTCCACTGAGACCAGGTGGATCATTATTACAGTGTTATATGTTTTATAAATATGTACACACTCATATAGAAAGATATACAGGCATGTACCATGTCATGTGTTTTTGTCAATGAGGGACCACATATTGGATGGTGGCCCTGTAAGATTATAGTGGAGCTAAGAAATACCTATCATTTAATGAGGTCACAGTTTGACACATTATTCACACATTTGTGGTGGCGCTCGTGTAAACAAACCTACTGTTCTACCAGTTATAAAAAGGACACCACATACAATTATTATGCATAACATATAATACTTGATAATGATAATAAATGACTGTGTTGCTGGTTTGTGTATTTACTGTACTATTTTCTCAATTATCTTAGAGTGTGCTCTTTCTACTTATAAAAGGAAAGTTTACCCGAAAGCACTATGCTGTGCTGTGCTCCTCATTTATCTCATGTTCATGATAGTAATTAAAACCATGTATAACATAACTCTAGGCGATTTAAGACTTTTGGTAGGGACTATACTCTGATCCCAAAACTTGACACTCAGTCTGGCGTGGTGGTATATAGCTATAATCTTAGCTATTCTGGAGATGGAGACAAGAGGGTCACATTGAAGCCAGCACTGTGAAATCGAGACCCTATCTGAAAACAAATTAAAAGCAAAAGGACTTGGGGTGGGAAGGGGGATGGCTCAAGTGATAGAGTACTTGCCTAGCAAGCAAGAGACTCTGAGTTCAATCTCTAGTACCACAAAAACCAAACCAAAACAACACTGACATTCACATAAAATGAGAGCACTATCATGTTAGTTCCTTTTCTTTTAACTGCTGCGTAGTATTTTTTACTATAGAGAACTACTGTTTATTTAGTCAGACTGCTGTGCTATACATTTTTGCCCGTTTAAGGAAATAGCCATACAGTGGATAAGGAAAAGTAAAATTGCTGTAAAAGAAAATATATTTATCTCTTTTCCTTTCACATGCTGCCAAAGATCCTGGTGTTACCATGGGTTGCTTCGCCACTCAATGTTACCAGTCTTGTAAGAAAAACCACACCCAAAATTGTGCTTTTGCTGAGGCCAAGATCCGCATCTTTGACCTGGGGTGGAAGAAGGCAAAGTGGACGAATTCCCACTTTGTGGCACATGGTGTCTGATGAATGAGGAGCTCTCCTCTGAAGCCCTGGAGGCTGTCTTTATTTGTGCCAACAAGTACATGGTAAAAAATTATGGCAAAGATGGCTTTCATATTTGAGTTCGGCTGCACCCTTTCCACATCATTTGCATCAACAAGATGTTGTCCTGTGCTGGGGCTGACAGGCTCCAGACAGGTATATGGCATTCCTTTGGGAAACCCCAGGGCACAGTGGCCAGGGGGCACATGTCCATCTACACAAAGCAGCAGATTAAGGAACATGTGATTGAGGCCCCACACAGGGGCAAGTTCAAGTTCCCTGGCTGCCAGAAGATCCACACCTCAAAGAAGTGGGGCTTTACCAAGTTTAATGCGGATGGATTTAATAGCTGAGAAGTCGCTCATCCCTGATGGCTGTGGGGTCAAATACATCCCTAATCGTGGTCCCCTGGACAAGTGGCGAGCCCTGCACTCATGAGGGCTCCCCACTGTGCTGTCCCCTCCTTAATCACCTTAATTATGTGCCACAATAAAAAAAGAATATATAATTTAATTTAATCCTGTGAAGAGTTTAATTTAGTAGTTCTAAATGCATTTTTTAACTAACTTCATCCTTGGAGATTATAATTTAGTAGCTTTGTAAAAGCTCCATCCCATCTCACTTGGCTGATGGTGTTTGATAAAATCCAGAGTGGGTCCAGGGATCTGGGCTTTTACAAAACACTTTCTGTGATTTCTGATATAGACTAAAATGGTTTGGAATTTGGGAACCACCGTTTGAGGCTATAGTTCTTTATAATAAACTGGAAGGGTAAAAAAGTGAATGAATAAATCTTCATAAAACCTTTGAATTAGCTGCTCTAAAGAATATATGCTGCTTTTGTGAAAGTACAGCATTCTCTGTAATCCTTTTTTCAAAATATAAAGGCATAAATTATAAAGATATCAAAATTAATATGAGAAAGTCTGCAAATGTTTAAGGTAACTTCTTTCCTATCTATCATCTTTCTATCAATACACTGTGTCAAGTGGAGGTAATCCACAGAAGTATTCACACCCTTCATCACTTGAATGAAAAGCTTGTTTTATTGTGATTTAGTCCTGTGATGCATCAGCCTCATAATTTGGGTTTAGTAAAGAGTTTCAGAAATACGTGCAGTTGTTACATGTGACCCTTAAGAAGATATAAAGCCACATGTGGGATTTACTTCCTGGTTGTTTCTCCCCAGCTAATTCTAGTGTTTTTAGTCTGGGGAACATTCAAGAAGACCTGATACCTGTCTTTAGATACTGATTAATTGTCTAATTTGACAAAAATCACAGATTGTCTGTGGGCAGCCACATTTGCTGGAAGAAATGTTGAATTCATATAATATTATGCATTCAAATTAGTAGAATATTTACATTGCAGTCTTGATAGCTGATATTTTAAGGAGAGGGGAAAAAAGGAAGTTAGGCTATACAATCTTATGGATTAGTGACAAATGAGAACAAGTAGTGGTTACAACAGTATTTAGGCTGAGTATAAGCTTTCAAGTTTTCCACAGTTCTTAATACTCTCTAATCATCCACTCTGAAGCAGGGCATAGCATTTTCCATTTACAGTGTTGCTCATTTATATTTACATGTCTACCTGTATTATCTTGCTGGGTCGTGAGGATGACCTGTTCTATGCCTCATCTCTACTGATGGTTTGCTGGCCATCTTTGGTCTTCCTTGGTGTATAAAAGCATCATTCCAACTCCTGCCTTCATCTTCACTTGATGTTTTCTCTGTGTCTGTATCTCTGCCCCTGTCCAAATTTCCCTTTTCTATAAGGTCACCAATCATATTGCATAAGGGCCAAGCCTAATGGCCTTATTTAACTTGATTCATTGATAAAGACTGTCTTCAAATAAGGTCATGCTGAAATACTAGCAGTTAAGACTTCAACATCTGGTTTTTAGGGGAGACATAATTTAATCAATAAAGCTATTTTTGTAGTCATTTGAGTTTCTCATTCTTGCTTGTCCCTCTGGTGGGTAGACATGAGCAAGAGTATAAAGAGTCAGATTTGAGTTTAATATAAGGAAGACCTTTCTCCGATTTCCTGTTACACTGTACATGAAGATCTGTCTTGAGAATGTAATGATTGACTGTTAGTAAAAATGTTTTTGAAAAAACAACAGGCAGTGGATTGAATTTGGCCCATATTGGATTAGATGTATGCACATCCGGTAGACATTGCTGATCAAGTGCAGCCTTGACTGTTTCTCAGAAGTCATGTGGACCCTTCAGAGACAAACGTAACCTGTTTGGTGATAATCCTGGGATGAGTGGTCAAGACCTTTTCTCTTCGTAAAAGTGGGCTATAGACTTGTTTAATTTTCTGTACTTTGAGAATTTAATAAATCAACATCTCTAACACATTGATTTAGCCTATTGAACCTGTTGAGTAAGTACCTGGTTTGAATGTTCATTGGCTGCTCTTTTGCTCCTGGAGCCACTGGTGGAGACACTTGCAGGTCTGTGTTTCCAAATGGATTTTGGAGACCTGTACACCAGAACAGAAGTCTTGGATTTTTTTTTTATTTTGTAGGACTTATTTGGGCACAAAGAATTTCTTCCCCAGAATGCATTTCTGAAGTGGCTGAGTACCCATGTTTGTACCCATGTTATTCTGAAGGAGCTTTGTGGAAATATCGCTTTTCTTCTGTGTGGATTTAATGAGAAGAATTTAAATATGGTATGCATAGAAATTAGTTTATACTTTCAGTGATTTTATCTGCAAATGTGTTTATTTGTGTTGGATGATGTAGCAGACACAGCATGGCCTCATCAGAGTACCAAAGGGTCAGTCTTTTGTATAATAGGCACGAGAATTAGTTTCAGCAAGTGCCAGCATACCATCTCCCACTGTTCTTACACTAGCTGTTGCCAGCTTCCTACACTGAACCTACATGGAGACTATTGAACAGGAGAATCTGTCACTATTTATGCCATAATTTTTATGGGTTTATTATAGGATTTGTTTATTTTAACAAATTCCATGTGCATTTAAGTTTGAAGTATCCATATATATTTATATATATATATATTTATATTTATATATATTACACATATTCATATATATGGACATATGTATATATATGAGGTTATTTATGTATTTATTTGTTTTATAAAATGTAAACTCTTGATCAATAATATGCTTGTACTGCTAAATATATTTACAATTTGTACTGTTTGTAATGTTGCATTTTGAAAATAGGTTTTAAAATCCTGAAACAAAGTCAGGCATGGTAGTGCACACTTGTAATCTCAGTACTTGGGAAGCTGAGGCAGGAGGATCATGAGTTTGAAGCCAGCCTTGGTTATGTAATGAAAATCTGTCTCAAAAAAAAAAAAAAGTCTGGAATAAAGTCTGGGCTATCAGGAATTTTTTTTTCTCTAGGTAATTTTTTAAAGTGATACTAACTTTTGTATTTTTTCTGATTATTAAAGAAAGTTGTGATTGCCTCTTAAAACTGAGAAATTCAAAGAGCATAAAGAATAAAAATAACTTGCAACTGCAACCTTTACAGATGCACATTTGCTTATTATTGCATTTTCTTCATAGGTACTCTATGTATTTGGTGGCCTATATTTTATAGGACATATTTGTAGTCATAAAATTTTTTCCAGACTGATCTCATATATTTGAAACTATGGCTCCATGAATTATGATCCATAATATGAAGCTATGAATTCTTTCTTTTTTTAATCTCACCATGTTTATCTTACAGTCTAGAGTGGACGTGTATACGACACACTGTCCTGCAGGAACTTCGGTGCAGAACATGCTACACTGGAGCCAGGTAGGCCTTCCAGGAGTGCAGCTGGGTTTGTGTAAGATCAGTGTTGGAAAGGCTCATGGATTCATTGAAGCACCTATCTCAAACCTTTCAAAGATAAGCTGTTTACAAATCTGATCTGGTTTTCTTCGGCAGGGTCCTGGGTCCTTGTCAGTGTGTTTGTGTTGTTTTCATTGTGTTCTGTGAGCACACTATGTTGTGTTTGAGTTCACCGAACAGTTTTCAGGGCTGACTTTTTTCTTCTGCCTCCGTTCCCCTTCCTTCTCCTTCATTTGAATCTCAGATTTATATATTCCCTCCCTACCTTCTTTTTCTTCCACCTCCCATCTGTTTTCCATTGAGTCTTAGATTTTTATTTCTGTGTTGTTTCTTAAAACATTATTTTAGAGCAGCTTTGGTCACAGAAGCTGTATTTAGTATTGAACTCTGAGCACAAAGTGCCTGGAACATCAGTGAATAAACCAGAGCAAACCAATCATTAATATGAGTGGGAGTTGTGAAGTTTTAAAATAGAGTTCTGATCATTTTATCACTAAGGGAATGTATGTCTATTCTAGAAAATTTAGAAACTACATTTAGACAAAAGGAAAATTATCTTAAACTGAAAGTAAAATTATTCTATAAACCCTGAACAGAGACAAGAAATGTTAATTTAGAGATGTGAAATATATTTAGAGAATGAAATGTATTCTTCTATATACCTCTTGCTTATATATCATTTCAGAAAGAAGCAATTAAAGATAGAAATGATGAAAAAACAGATTATTTTTCTCCTATTTATTGTTTTATAACTTTTTCTAATATGTTAGGGACTTATTTTCTTCTCAAGACATGTTTTTGGGAATTTTTTCCAGCCAACTTTATCTTAAATATGAAATAATTTACTGTTTAAACTTAAAACCAGGATGCTGGAGGTGTCTTGGACAGTAATTTCCAAGCATGAGTCAGGCACTGCTTTCATCAGAATTACTGAATTGTTTTTAAATGTACATCTTTTAATAAAACATTGCTAAAAAATGAAGTAATGAGACTTGAGTTTTCTAGAGTTTGTGAATTATAGTCACGTAGTATATATTTGTTTTTGTCTGGCTTTTTCACTCAGCATAATTATTTTGAGGTTTGTCAGTTCTTTTTATTCCTGAGGAGCCTGTATTTCTGAAAAATCTATCTAGCAGATTCTTCTACCCAACTGAGTTTGGGAGTCAGTGGTTGGCGTGGTAGGTATGTGTGCTATTACTACTTTCTCAGAGCCATATCTGTGAGAATCATGGTTTTAAACACTTAACATCAGACCCTCTACAAGCCTTCCTGTCATTGTAGTGAGAGGAAGGCTAAAGGTCAGAGTTTGCTGTGGCTTAGAAGAAGGACCACTGGAATGCAAGTTGTTCATACCATGCTGACAGTTTGTGTTTATAATCTCTTGTTTTCTTCACACCTTAACACCAAAATTCGACTATATCCATGTGTGTTCCCCACACCCCAGTACTGGGGTTTGAACTCAGTGATTATACCTTGAGCCACTCCACCAGCCCTTTTTGTGTGATGGGTTCTTCAAGATAGGGTCTCATGAACTGTTTGCTTGGGATGGCTTTGAACCACGATCTTCCCGATCTCTGCCTCCTGAGTAGCTAGGATTATAGGGGTGAGCCACTGGCGCCTGGTTATCCATGAGTGTTTTTACCTGCTTACCTAATGGACATGTCTCAGAAAAGTCACCTCGGGGGTTAATGTACACCCAGAGACACCGGAGGAAGACAGAGCCAGATTGAGGGTGGATGCTGAGCTGCTCACTAGCTTAGTGATCACCAGCAGCCCATGTGTGTATACTACATATCTCAGCAAGGTAAAAGTGGCCACCAGACCTGTGCTTGCAAGTGCCGCTGGGAATGCGGAAACCACAGCTGTCCTGAGACTGGCCTACTTTGTATTGCAGAATGATATTGCTTCAGTCTTCTGTGTCCCAGGCTTCCTCTGGGTTTGTGGGAAAGCAGTTGGCTTGGCTACCAGCCAAGCTAGTTTCTGCTGTGATTCTAAATCCTTTTATCAAGCAGCTGTCCAGGGTCAAAGGTTGCAGGCTGAGGGCCAGAGCCCTGCTCTCTGGCCCAGTAGTGACCTTGAGGCTTTTGGTACTAATATACTAGAATGTGCTGGATGAATGATTTGAAACAGGAGATTTGTGTAGGACCAAGAGTCTCTGCTTAGGTATTTAGCCAAAGGGAAGGTCTGATTCTTGTCTTACTAAGCCAATGAATGAACTTCACAGACAATGAGAGGAAATAAAGGGAGTTTATTGAGATAGAAAAGTATAGCGTGGGAGAGTAGAGCCCACAAAGTTGAAGGTTGGGGGCTTTCAAAGAGAGGGTGAAGAAAGACAGAAACTCCTGGGGCACTAGAGTGGTCCAGAAAGACTGAGCCATGGCAGTTGTATGTATAAAGGCTTTTATGTAGTCTTTTGGTGTGCTTTTGGGACAGACCTTGCAAGTCCCTGAATACAGTTCTCTGATAGTTGGGCACCCGATTTTTTTCTTATAGGGTCCTGGCACTCTTTTTCTTTCCTTCCCTCTTGACCATCTTTATCTCCCTGTCTTGGGCCTTGAGGTTAGCTACATACTTAAAATTTAATCTACTCTTAATTTAAAAGTAATCTTAATCTTAAATGTCATCTTAAATGTCAGCTAGGTCTGGCACTGAGTTTACACAGGTGTACTTAAGACAATTGGCCCAAACCTAGGAAATCATCCCAGAGGCTAAAAAATCCCAAAGCTTTAACAAACATCCCAACTTTAAAGTCTAACCCTATCTTCTCTCCCTTGAAGTGACCTGCCAACCTGCTGAAAGTGCAGTTCTTTCCCAGTTAACTCTACCACTACTTTTGTTATAATCTTTGTGACTTGCTTGCATTCTTTTCCTGCCGGGTGCAAGACCCAAGACATTTATTAGTACTATTTTTTTCAGTAACATACTTACTGACTTTAATTGCTCCTTTATGGCCCCCAGCCCTAACTGTCTGAGATCAAACTGGCTCCTAACAGGTTTACTGCGGAAGGCAGCTTCACCCTTTGCCCTTCTGATCACGGTGCCATCCCTCTGTCATTGCAAGTGCTGTTTCCAGTGTTCTCCCTTGGTGCTCCCTCTTCTGAGGCCACCACTCTCCAAGAGGCAGCCTTGGTCCTGCTGGGAAAGGCTTCTCCTGACGTGGGTAGGGCCTGGGGTGGAGTTTGAAGGTTCCTCTGGTATGAGTTTGGGGGTGCCCTCTGAGTCCATTTAATTTACAGTATGTTCAGAAGTGTTTTTTTTTGTTTTTAATAGTTCATCAATTAACAATTCAAAAACCTTGTTCTGCACATTTAAATCTAGTGTACAAATCTTCCCATTTTCTTTACAAACTAATGAATTTCAGAGATACCCAAGTCAAGCCTGTTGTTTTTATGTTACCCTACCCTAGTGCTACACAGAGCCTAGGAGTTTGCTCCTGTTAGAAGGATGTGGGTCTTAACATATCTTTACATATTGTTCACAGCTACTTAAGGCGCTACTCTTGGGCCTATCCAAGGCCTGTAGAGAATCTTGAATTCCTGAGGGTGTATTCTTGGGATCTGCTTTTATTAAGGACCTCAGATCATTCTGGTGTCCTTTATTGTTTGAAACTGAACTGCAAACAAAAACAAAAGTGAACACTTGATTGGCTTTTTTTTTTCATTGTAAAAAGTTCAGTATAATTTTTCTTGTTCATATAATATATGTTTTATGAATTTTGAAAAGATACATGAGTGAAAGAAGAAAAAATCACTATCACTAAGAAATAACCATTAATATTAGTGATTATTAATATTTTGGTATAATCTTATTTTTAATTTATCATGTTCATTACAAAAACAGAATCATATTGTGTGTACTTTTTAGAAACTTTTTCTTTCTCTTTCTTTTCTTTGACATAGTCTCACTGTGTAGCCCAGGTTAGCCTCAAACTCTAGATCTTCCTGTCTCTGCCTCCTCAGTGCTGGGATTACAAGTGTGTACCACCATGCCCAGATTTGAGTAACTTTTCATTTACTTAAGTAGCATTGTATTTTTAGACACAGGCTAAGTTGCTGTATCAGAAACCCCCAAATCTAGCTGCTGAAAATATACTTTATTTCTTTCTCATAATGCAGTTCAGAGAACAGTGTCCTGGGCTCATGGTAGAGGAGGATGTGACTGTGTTTGAGGGCATGCAGGGTCTCTTGGGGACTGTCCAGGGAAGATGGCTTTGCATAAAGGAGATTATAGCAATATGGCCCATCCTGGCTGCTCCAGGGGATGAGGGCGTGGTTTCTCTCCTGGCAGTCCTGTGCTTTTAGTAAGCTTTAGGGATTCCATTACTGAAAGGAAGAGGCAAGAATGGCTCTTAGAAGACAGTTAATCTCTGTCATAATAAAAAAAAAAACACCTCCCAGCTTAGTAACTGAATTTTAAAGATATTCATGCACAGTTAGGTAAATTTTAGTATCTTTATTTTTTGCTATTTTTTTTTTGCAATAGTGAACCATCCTGGGGAAAATACCCTTGTATTATAGATCTGTCCTTATACATAAGGAAGATTATTTTCTTAGGAGGCTACGTTCATAGATGTAGGCTGAATGGTGAGAAGGTAGGCATATCTTCAAGATTTGAATTCATATTATACTTTCAAAAAGTTTAACCTACTTACATTTCCTTAGCATTCAAGATCTAAAAATAGTTTTAAATGTTGCTTTAAAACTGTTTTAATTCTATAAGCATTTCCTCTTGGTCTTTACATTTGATTATCATAGAAGTACATGCACAGAGCATATTCAGTTTCACTTAGTATGATTTATGGAAATTATTTATAAAGTTTCCTGCTTATATTTTATTATATTTATTTTGTGACAGTGACATACTGCTTTCTATTTGATATAACATAGCTATTATTGAATACTAGCTTATTCCCAGATTTCTGTTTCTGTAAATAATCTTACACTCTGTCCTTGGAGATGCCCTCTGAAGTGGGTAGCGTGAGCCCTAAGTGACTATAAGCAGGAAAGTCAAGTTCAGCCTGAGTTAGAATACTCTGTGTTCCATACTCACTCCTGGTGCTTTACGTAAGTGCAGAAAGACATGCGTGAGGAAGTAGGAACTGGTATCGGCATACCATGGCAGAACCTTTCACTTTGGTGTCTTATCCCTGACAATTAGACACAGAAGTACTGAAAGGTGCTGAAAATCTGTGCTTTGTTAAATGTGTATCAGGTATTTAGTATCTGTCATTTGCAATGGCAAAGGAAAATGGTAACTATTTCTCCTTCAGCATCAAACAGTAGAATCTTAGGCAACTGTTAAGAACTGAAGCTTCACATAAATCAAAGGCATTTCTGACAGACTGTGTAGGTTTTTTTGTTTTTTTAAGCCAGGCGCCACCATGTGGCCAAACTTGCAGTTTCTGATTCACTTAGTTCCACCAATTTGAGGTTTAGGTTTTGACTAACTTTTAATTTAGGAGTGTAATTCATAGAGGAAGTATGAATATATATTATTTCAAATTTCAAAAATAAGTGACTTTTTGTTAACATGTGTATCATACTCTTCTAAATATGCATAAATGTAAATTTCATACACGGTATCACTCTTGTAGCTCTAGTATCCCTAACTAGATAGAACTGCATGGCATGAACTACAATTTAATGAGTACATACAAGATCTTAAGAAAAGGTATTCAATAAATAAAATACTAAAAAAAGTAACAAATAATATAGCTAGAAAAGTCGGATAGACATACATAGGAAATGCAGTTACGTATATGTACAATATACAGGCATTTCTTAACTGTCGTGTGTCTTCAGAAATGTGTCAGTAGTCAGTTTCTTACACAAACTGAGATGGCTGTGTTGTCACTCAGTGATATAATCCACTGCAGTATATTTAACCCATCCTTGTCTGAAATGCCTTTATGCATCTATATCTCCAAGCAAAATTATTACTCTCTGAGAAATTTAAAAAGAAAATATCAGTGGAAAAGATTTGCATAAAGCTCATCGAGGTGAGGCATGATGGTATATACTTGCAATCCCAGCTCAGTGGAAGGCACAGATAGAATTGCTGTCTGAAGCTGGCTTCAGGTAAAAATATGAGACTCTACCTGAAAAATGCAGCTAACGCAAAAAAAGCTGGAGGTGTGGCTCAACTGGTTGAGTGCTTGACTAGGAAGTGCGAGGTCCTGAGTTCAAATCCCAGTACTGCCAAAATAATAATAAAGATCATCTAATAGGAGCATCTGTGGGTCCAGTGTAATCAAAAGCATTTGTGTATAGCAGCTTTCTTGAGTCATTTAGTAGTTATTTTTTTTCAATCATACAGTGAGAAATTGAACCAGGCAGTAAAAGAGAATAAAACAATCTCATTTTATTCTAAATAAATTCTGGATTTTTGTATAAAGTTGGTTGCTGACGATATGGCTAGCTCCAGCAACCTATGATGTTGTCTTAATCTACAGTGTCAGATAACTTTTCTCAAATTTTCTTCCTTTTTAGGCTGTTAAACTCCAAAAGTTTCAAGCCTTTGACTGGGGAAGCAGTGCCAAGAATTACTTTCATTACAACCAGGTAAGGTTTTCAGTCTTTTAATTCAGATGGCTCTGAAAACTCATTGAGGAAGCCAGTCTGGGTTATCAAGATTCTGTTTGGGCTCAGCTGCTGAAGGACATCCTTGACACAGTTGACTGGGTAGTGTTTGCTAGCCCCACCTCCCCAAGTCCACTCCAGAGCCACCCAGGTTGGAGTTGTGGGCTAAGCCTTCTCTCTTCATCCTTTCCCCAGCTCTAAATAAGATCCATCACTGTTATGTGTTATTCAGAGTGCTCATGAACACTTACTTTAGAATCAGGTAGTCTGAGTCTATTGCTGCCTGCAGCTGTAAAGCCTTGGTCACATTACATTGATTTTTTTCTTCTTCCCTATACAAATAATACTGACAGTTTTTGAGCCCGAGTATACTGAAGTGTCAGATACTTTCTCTGTGTTTTCTCATTTAATTCTCATAATAATTCCTGTGATGTAAACAAGATTATCATTGATTTAAAGATGAGAAATCTGAGGCTTAGAGAATTTCTATGACTTGTTTTATACCCAAAAGGAGAAAGTAGACGTGTCTGACTCTGAAGCCCCTTCCCACCTACTTGGTTCAGTGCTGCCCTCACTGGGGATTAAACAGACCTCACTGACTCAGGATAGGGTAGCCCCTCCATAGTTTGCATTCTTTCATTGTGGGTTAGATTTCTTTTTGTTCTGATAATGGCAACCTGAAAAGAATGCTGACAGTAGTTTTCTTTTTTTTTATTATTATATTATTGTTGTACTGGGGGTACACTGTGACATTTACAAAAGTTCTTTCAGGATATCATAGTTGAATTCATCCCCTCCATCATTTTCCTTTATCCCCCACTTCATTCCTGGAATATTTTCAACAGTTCTCATTTTTCCATTTTCATTCATGTGCACATAATAGTCCCATCACATTCACCCTCCTACACCCTTTCCTTATGTCCTCTTCCTCCCACTGGATCCCTCCCCCAGACAAGATCTGTTTTACCTTCCTGTTCTCTGTTTTCTGGGAAAAAAAGACATTTTTGTTTAAGAGAGCTATACAGGGTATTTCATTGTGACATTTCCATATATATGTATATAACCATAATTGGTTCATCCCCTCTGTTTTTTCTCCTTTCTACATTAGTCCCCTTCTTATGGTAACTTCAACAGGTTTACAAATTCTGTATCCATTCTTGTATAGGAAGTACATCAACCATATTCACCTTCTTAACTTCCTTCTTTTACCCTCAGCCTCTCATATGTGACCTGCCTTTATTGTGACCTGTTTTTCATAATATTGCTTGTATTTGTATTGGATGTGTATTCCGTATATGAGAGAAAACATGCAACATTCAGCTTTTTGAACCTGGCTAACTTCACTTAAGATGGTGTTCTCCAGTTCCACCCATTTACCTGCAAACAACAAAATTTCATTCTTCTTTATGGCTGAATAAAATTCCATTGTATATAAATACTACATTCTGAAAGTGATTTTCGAAAGTTAGTATCTTATTCTCAGATGAGACTTACTAGACAGTGTTTAATGGAGATTGTGTTTATTGCAGTTTTGAAAATTATAACAACAAAACCTTCTCTGGCTCTTTTTCATTGTAGAGTTACCCTCCCAGATACAATGTGAAAGATATGCTTGTGCCCACTGCCCTGTGGAGTGGGGGTCACGACTGGCTCGCAGATGTCAAAGACATCAACATCTTACTGACTCAGATCACCAACTTGGTGTACTACAAGCACATTCCTGACTGGGAACATCTTGATTTCATCTGGGGCTTGGACGCCCCTTGGCGATTATATAATGAAATTATTGATCTGATGAAGAAATACCAGTGAAAAAACCCAGAGACCTGTACTGCCAACTCATGCAAAAATGTGTTTGCTTAATTTCTGTAAAATACTTGTTTTCCTTTCCCAGATCATTTGTATTTTTATATGCAAGAAAATGATGACTTTGGAACACTAGCTGTATTTTAATTATGACTGACTATGAAGCAAGGGTCTCAACTATAGTACTGTCTTTTTAAGTCTTTTAAAAAAATACCACTGACTTGTGAAAAAATCGTTATAACCGTTCTGTGTCTCCTTACAATTCAAAATCCATTCCTGCCTTTTTATGCCTACCTGGAACAAATTAACATGTGTTGGGAATTTTACACTGTTGGTAAATAATCAGTCACTGACTGGAGTACGATATTATAAAAAGTACCCAGTTCTTATCTCCTTGCCTTAAAAGACTCTCCAGTCCAATGGTCTTGTATTTATGGATCTAAATGACGCTTTTTCATGTTTTTATGTAATAACAACCTTGTTAAATCCAATGATATCCAAGCTGTGCCAGGAATAAAGATTTGATAAAATCAGTTTTATCAAACCTCAGTAGTAAGCATTTAGCAAATGTTTGAATTTCTCAGGCCAAGCAAAATAGTTTACTGGAGTCTTTAAAAACATAGCACTGATTTTTAAAACTCTGTTATAAATGACTTGAAGAATGATACACCTATTATTTTCCTGAAATCTAGGTTATCCTATTTGTCTGAGAAGAAAAGTCCCGTGGAGAGACTAAACCACTATTTTTCCTGAAATTAATGAGCTCTGAACCAGCTTCTGTAGGTCTGTGACGATGTCTACATGAAGCCAAAGCCCATGAGAAGTTCATTTCATTTTCACTCAAATGAAATTGTGAACATGATATTTTCAGATTAAAGCACAGCTCAGGAATGCATTTTATTCTTTTAGTTTAGTTTCATTCATGTTTTTAATAAGCCTGCTTTGTAACCTTGTGTCAAGGAATCCCACATTCATCTGCTTTTCTCGTAGCATTATTTCTTTACAATACTTTTGGATGGGTGGAGTGAGGATGTGTTTTTCGGATGCAGTTACTTTAGCTGCATTAAAAATACTTTAGCTGCAGTAACAATACTTGGCATTGGCTAATACATGTAAGCAGAATAATGCTACTTTGTAACATTTTCAATAAAACTCAGCCTTCTCAAAGGCCTGAAGGATTGTGTGTGTGTGTTTTCTCTTTAATGACTATTCTATCCTGTAGTTCTGGCAGGACTTACCATTTTCTTTTCTTTCCTTTTGTCCTTTGGTAGTAACAGGATTTGAACTTAGGACTTTGCTCTTGCTTGGCAAGCACTCTACCACTTGAGCCCTACCTCCATTCCTTTTTGCTTTAGTTATTTTTCAGATAGGTTCTCTTTTTTTTTTTTTGTCCTGGCCAGCCTTGAACTGAAATCCTCCTATCTCCACCTCCCAAGTAGGTGGGATTACAGGGGAGGCCCAACCCTCCCCCCACACACACCTGGCTAGGATTTATGATTTTCTTTCTCATCTCCCTTTCTTCCTTCCTTCTTGGCAACTTCACTGATGCAGTCCATGAATTGTTTTCCTCTTTCATGGAAAAGAGAAACAGGTCCTGAGGCTACAGAGGGCTGAGGAATGGTTTGGAAACACTGGTTTCTGTGTTACCATGCATGGCCCATGTCAATGGGGCTGGGAGTGAAGACTAGGCAGTAATGAATCCTGTCTGCAGGTAGTGGCCAGTTGCAGGAAAAGCATAGACGGTCTATCCAGCTCCCTCCATGAGCAAATGAGGCAACTAAGGCTGGAGAGACAGCACATACCTTTGAGCCCCCAAACACAGGTTTGAGACCCAAGTGTACTCTCTTTCAGTTGTCTGAACTTGAGGGTAGAGTATATACCCATTTCTCTGTAAAGCCAGAGTCTAACAGAGCCTGAAATATAGTCGGTCAATAAATATTATATGGGGTAGAAAAATGTGTGAAAATAACAGACATCTTCATCTAGTTAAATGAGGTAAGATGCACAGGTAGCATCTGGGAGGGTCTAGGGACTGACATAGATAGCATCACTGTGGTTTTTCAGGGCAGCTACAAATAATAGTGAACTTCTACTAGATGCAATGAGAGCACATCCCAGGTAGATGCTACCCTTCTTGCTGGCCATAGATCCCCAATGAAGCCTTTCTTCTTGGACCAAGACAAACTGGTTGGGGCAACCAACCATCCCTACATGGGTATTTCTGTTTGTTGTTTTCTCCAGTCATGGGGAGAATGGCTTCAGTGCCATAGGTGATTTGGTTTCTCTAACTGTGGCCAATGCCATGGGGGACTCCCAGAGACAACTTTGAGAATATGTGGTCATCCAAGTTCCCACACCCAGACAATAGACTGAGGAACTGTAAGCTTCTCATCTTCTCCTTTGTCTTCTTTCCAAATTTTGCACTGGGGACTTTCCTAAAGTCAAGTGAATAAATAGTCTAAAGGTAGAGATATTGCATAGTCACTCTTGCTAAATTTGGGTTACATTTCTCATTTGCCTTTGTTCATGGCCTCTTGCCCTAACGGACACTATATAAGCTCTTTGTAATCTAATCCTAGCTGTATTCCCATATTTTTGTTTCATCATTAGCTGAGAGTTGGAAGTTCTGACAAGAAGTCCTGTGACAGTTTTAAGGAGCTCTTCTCTGTTCTTTTCAACTGGATTTCTTGCTTCTTCTGTTGAGAAAAGATCTCTGCAATCCTGTATTCTGACAACTTGGAACTGTTCTCTAAAATAATCTATTTACATGGGGGAAATGAAGGGCTCCTAAAGAAGGAAAATTATTTTTAATTTACCACAAGAGGGCACTCTTGGCTTTGCTTGCAAATCACCCCTCCACCACCTCACCTTTTAGCCTCTGTTGACCTCAAACTCATGATCCTTCTGTTTTAGCCCCTCCTCGGTGCTGGGATTACAATTATGAAATACCAAGCCATTTTGTAGGGAGATTTTCTCTGGGCTCTTCCTCTAAGGAAGCTTTAAGAGCCTGTTGGCAATTTGATTATGGGTAAAGCCAGCTATGGCTGTGGTAATTTCTATCTAGGATTAAGATTAATTTTTGCCTAATGGGTAACATATGAGAAATGTTCATAAGGAATAGCTGCCCCCCAAATATAACCTAAAAATAAGAATTTGCTTAGCAGGTAAATGAGTGATATGGGCATGGGTGATGGGTGATGGATTGTGGAGAAGGCATTAACCTAGGCCTTAGACTTATTAAACACCAAAATTTAGTGGCATTACTTCCAATAATGAAGATAGTTTTGTGTTTGTGGCTATTACATGTGTTGATTTATTAAATGTGACATTGAAAATATACTGTAAGTCGATGATTTCTTGTCACTTATTTTTTAGTATATGAAGAGATTTTTTTCAAAATAAAAGACATTCTGATGCCTAAAGGCAACATTAGGGAGTAATTGTTCTGATTAAAAAGACTATCAGTCATTCATTCAAGACTATTGTATTGTATTAGGTGCAGATTTCAAGTTCACTTCCACACTAAGCAAGTCAAACTCTGCAATATCTTAGTCTTACTGAAAATAAGCCTTCATTTTACATGGTAGCCTTCTTATAAGGCTTTTTACTGTGGCAATCTTTGATAGGCTGAGTAAGCATTGTGTTGTTTTCTCTGCTTTACAGGCCATGGATGCTTCCCATTGGGGATGAGTTTATGTTTCAATCTTTTTACAGAGGTTGATGAGAGTTACAACAGGACCAGAAGAAGTACCCACCCACGTGCCATGTGATAGACCGAGATTAGATGCATCCATATCTGGATTAACAGGAGCCTCGAGGGATTGTCCTCATCAACTTCTCCTACTGCTTTTGATGTGGCTAGTTAATGTTTTCTGAATCTTTTGTAAATTGCCACATAAAAGCAGCTCCTATGCCATCTTGTAATGCCAAATGTCTCCTATTCAACTTAGCTTGGAACTGGCACTGACAAGAGTTTCACTCTTGATTTGGCTGTTACTTACTATTTAACCCTGGCTAGTCTTGACTTTTCTGAGGTTGTAAAATTCAGGTTTGGATTTTGATCTTTGAGATTACTCCACCCTGATTATACCCAGGAATAGCCTTTCTGTTTTTGAAGCAGCCAAGACAGCCTAACTTCATATTGGGAAGGAAAAAAATCATAAAAGCCATAAAGAAGTGAATATATGAGAGGTGACAGGCTTTGCCAACTACATGTTCTATTGTGTGTGTGTGTACATGGGGTCAGTATTCAATATCTTTTGGTGAGTTGGTACCAAATAACTTTGAGATTGAGTTAAATATGTGCAGATATCTGTGACAGCTAGGTGTCTTTTGACCTTTTACCCTGTCAGAAGGCTCAGGCCAAGATAAAAATGGTACGCAAGAAGTTATGCTCAACTGGAGAAATACAAGAAATAGTGTAGCTGAAGTCCTAATATCATCTGAAATCAAAACATCCCTTGTGTGGAAAATAGACTCTGTAGGGAAACAGATACAAACTACATCAACTAGTGCTCCAAAAACAACAACAACAACAACAACAAAAACCCCTGCTTTTTAGCCTTGATTTTGAGCTACTATTTTTAAAAATGAGCACCAAGCATCTTCTCCACACTCTTTACATATAAGATACAATACTTGCCGCTGGGGCTGTGGTGTAGTTCAGTGATAGAACACATGTTGAGCATGTGCCAGCCTCTGGGTTTGATCATGGAACCACAAAAAAAAAAAAAAAGAATAAAAGATATAATGCTGTGGGGAAAAGATACACCTTGAACTCTAAACAGATCTACTTACCTAGCAAGCTACATTTTCACATGAATACTGTGTGAAATCAAGAAATCAAGAAATAAAGAAATGGCTCTGCTTCAGTTTATTCTGGTCCATTCCAACTGTGCCTGGCTTCCAGATTTTGCTTCATAGTTCTCCCATGTCAGTACACATAGACACCAGTCTTGTGGTGACAAAGGACAGAACCAATAAAACAGAAAAAGAATGGATTGGTTTTGGCTGCAAGCTCAAAGAACACAGTTCTGATAGCAAATCTAAGGGCTAAATGCAAATTAAACAAATCTACCAAGGTCAACCACTTAAAAATTTTTTTGCAAGAACATTCAAAGCATCCAAGCATGATTGCTGAGACCATAATGAAAGGACACTATATGCTGGAAGGAGATTTGAAGGCTGATATAACTTTGGTTGAGGGTAAATTTGAGTGATTTTTAATGAGCAGAATGTGCATTCTTAGTGTCCCTTTGAGGCACTGAGGTACCTGGGAGTGAAGGAGAGAAAAGCCTTCCTCTCTTCTCTGAGATGCTACACCAAGGCAAGACCACCTTTACCAGGAATGAACAAGAAGAAAGTTCCTAAGTTGCCCTAAAGGTGAAGTGCAAACAGCATGTGTGGGTGTGGATATTGGTAAGAAGCCTATCCTTGCCTAATTGAAAGAAACCCACTAGCAGGGAGGCCTGGGACCTGCATTGCACCTGTTTCTGCTACCATTCAGATATCAGAGAGGCATTAGAAAATCTATCTTCTTTCCTCTTTTATACCATTGTCAAAAAGCTCAAGCTGCTTCTAACCCTTTATATCATCAATGGCAAATATGCAAGCAGAATATATTCTCATGGCACAATGGAGGTTTTTTTCCTTTTTTTCTTTCTTGAAGGTTGCTTTAGGATCAAAAGCTACCACTGCCTAAGGGCTCCAGAGAACAGGCATCTAGGATTATCCTGGGACACACACCAGATATGATGTCTGAATTGTGAATTTGCCTATTATGCACACATATACACCATATACATATATTAGGAATTGGTCTATTACATATACATGTCCTATGTATTATAGTTTAGACTCATTTGTTGGTTTATATTTTATAGTGTTTATTCTTTCTTTATAAAATATGGCTTTATATCCTTTATTTCTCATTACATAATTTGATTTTAATTTCCAATGTCTCTCAATTATTCTTTAGATAAAATGTGGAGTATAAATTTTAAATAATATGCATTTTATTTTGTGTTTGCTATGTGCAAGGCATTTTGATTTTAAACCCACAGCAATAATAATAATGCCTACTTCCTGACAGAGGAGGAAACTAGCTATTGAGGATTGGATGAAATCACTTCAAGTAAAACACTCAGTGAGTGCCAGGCATGTAGTATACAAGCATGACACGGTAGACATTATTATTATTACTATTTCCATTTAATACAACAAGCTTGTAAGATGACTACTGTTATTTTCCTTTCTGAGGATATGAAAATTCAAGCTTTTGGGAGTGAAAGGCAGGTCCCAATGACATAGATTCAGAGGCAAAAGCAGAAATCCAATAGTCTCAGGTTTCCAAGTTTTTGTCCTAAACGTCTATCCTTTAGGGGTCCCTGTGTCCCGCCCAGGCAAACGTGGAGGTTGATTTTTATGCAGGTCCGGGATCTCTCCAGAGCTATTTTAGTACCAATTTCGTTGTGCTGAGTCTCTGACTCCCCCCTCCCCCCCCACGCCATTCCAGTTTGGTGGTAGAGAAACGGAGGGGGCAACGACGAGTGGTGTTCCAGCTCTCTGGGCCAGGAGTGGTTTGGGGAAGGGAGGTAGAGAGCTGGAGGAAAGCTGGCGCCAATGCTCCAGTCAAGGCGAGGAGAGGAGGTGCGACAATGCGTGCGTTTTTCCCAGTGGTTAGAATCGCACAAACCATCCCCGTGAGGATCAAAGTAAGTGATTTACCTATTCAATTGCTTCCAGCCCACACTGAGATTCGGTGGCTTTATAGCGGGATCTGTACAGGCACTGAGTGTTAAACCCGGCGTCCTTCCCCTTCCCAAACCCGAGCCTTGCAGTGGCCGCGCAGTCTTTTAACAGCAGTGCCTCACGGTCCGTGGTCGCTGGTCTGGACACCCCTAGATGCTCTGTCGACAGTCGTCAGTGTCGGATCAACCTTGGCCCCTAGGGTCAAGTCTGCGTGCAGGAGCTTGAGCCGGCTGTAAGCAGGACTGGAAAGCTTCTTCTCAGAGTCGCTGGAACTGGCGGAGGTTCCCATCCCGCCACCATCCTGAGCTGACCACCACCGCGTTCAGTCTGCGATTCACTATTTCCTCTGCAAAGGAATCGTTTGCTGTTCGCAACAGGTTAGACCGCTGTAATGTGGGCAACAAAGAAAAAACCCCAACTGTGCAAAGTACGTTGCCTGAAAAAGTTTTAAAAAATTCACTGATGTTTGAGCTTGGATGAAAACACATGTGTGCGTTTAAAGACGCAAGTAATTCTGCATTGGTTGTAAAGCAGCATTTTCTGGTAGGGATGGAAACATTAGTTTGGGAGTCGTGATGACACCGGTGAACTGAGTTGTCGAAAGTCTGAAATTTAGCCGGGCGTGGTGATATAAACTTTAATCCCAGCATTGGGAAGGAATCTGACAGAAAGCCAACCTGGTATACCTAGAGAGACCCAGTCTCAAACAAAGAACCCTCGGGAACTCTTCACTGCAGATCTGTACATTGTGTCCCGTGTAAATTCTACGCAACTGAAAAAATGAGAACATAATTCTGTATGCATATGAAAAGTTCTTATATGACACTACATAAGGCATACATAAAAATCGATTAGATGTAACGGTGAATGAGCATCTTTGTAGCAACTAAATGCAACTTTCGCCCAACCAGGAAAGGGAGCCACTTGACATCACTCAGAGGGTGGGGCCAGTCCTAAGAAAAGTCGGCGGGACGCAGCTGCAGCAGCAGCGCCAGACACAACCTCACCATGAGCTGCCACAACGGCTCCGAGCTCCAGGTCTTTAGCAGCTCCGGCCAGCTGTTCCTGCAGCCTTTCTGGGACCGCGTGAAGACCTGGGAGGCGCTCACTCGGTCCCCCTTCTTCCCGGTGGTCTTCTCCATCACCACCTACATGGGATTCTGCTTGCCCTTCGTGGTGTTGGACGTCCTGTATCCCTGGGTGCCCGCGTTGCGGCGCTACAAGATCCACCCAGAGTTTTTGCCGTCTGCACTGCAGCTGCTGCCCTGCCTGGGGCAGACGCTCTACCAGCACGTGGTGTTCGTGTTCCCGGTGACTCTGCTGCATTGGGCCCGCACCCCCGCGCTGCTGCCGCCCGAAGCCCCCGAGCTGCTGGAGCTGGTGCGCCATGTCGTGTTCTGCTTGCTGCTCTTCGACACCGAAGTCTTCGTGTGGCACGTGCTGCACCACAAGGTGCCTTGGCTGTATCGCACCTTTCACAAGGTGCACCACCAGAACTCGTCCTCGTTCGCGCTGGCGACGCAGTACATGAGCATCTGGGAACTGTTTTCCTTGGGATTCTTTGACATAGTGAACGTCACGCTGCTTGAGTGCCACCCGCTCACTATCCTCACCTTCCACGTTGTCAACATCTGGCTGTCGGTGGAGGACCACTCAGGCTATGACTTCCCGTGGTCCACTCACAGACTGGTGCCTTTCGGATGGTATGGAGGCGTGGCACACCACGACCTTCATCACTCTCAATTTAACTGCAACTTTGCTCCTTACTTCACACACTGGGACAAAATACTGGGCACTCTGCGGCTTGCGCCACTCCCAGCTAGGTTGTGTGGCTGTGACAGATGTCCTTCAGACCAGGGACTGCGGTGCATTTTGCACTTGAATCAGGAGAAAAACACCTGAGCTATTTTTTTTGAATCAAGTAACTTATTAACTGATGAAAACTGTAACAGGTGAAATCTGATGTATTTTTGTAATCTGAGAAAGTAATTTATAGAATGTTAGTATATAAATATAATTGTATTCTTAATGTCAAAAATCTAACTCACTTTGATAACCTTAACTGCTGGACATAAATTAAACATTCATCACCAGCCTCTTTCTAAAAGGACTTTTTGGTAGAACAAGGACTTTCTTATGTCTGAAATTGTTTTAGAATCAGGCTAAATGAACATTTTTGTGGAAGAGCTACTGACTCTAAATAACCTAACAAGTTCCTGCTGGACAGTGACTGAGATTATGGGTTTTCTATTTTTTCATAGAAGTGTATATTTATATTGAAAGGAATGTTATTACCTTTAAAAATGAAAGAAAAAGAACATGACTCAAACAAGTACTGGCTCCTGTCTCACTTGCATATTAGTGGATAAAAACTAAAAAGGGAGGGGTGCTGGGATTGTAAGTGTTCTGCAGAGCCTCCATCAGCTCTGCCATGGAAAACGAGGTATCTGGTGGAATCATGAGGGGGTAGTGTAGGAAAAAAGGAGATGGGGAAGTGGCTGTTTGACTGTTTTGATCTAGAGATTCTACAGAGAGAAAGACACTATCATTCTGAATGCTTTTCAACTGATTTCTACATAATAGGCAAAAAGAATTTGCAGAGACAGTTAACACTGGGCAATCACTGGATTATTTGGAGGGTGTGTGTAGGGAGTTTATAGAACTAGAGGACTGCCTTGTTTTGGGAAACTGGTGTCAAGTATATGCATTAGAGCAGCTGATTGATAAAAAAAAAGGAATTTCAAAGAAGTCCCCTTTCAGGAAACCATACTTAGCCAGTGCAACTGATCATCAAAACATTGCCTCTGTTGTCTGGAATTTTTCTACAGTTTATTTTCTTAATTAAGACTTACACACAAAGCATACAGCCCTTTCTCAAAGAAAGATAAAGCAAAATTTGGCGCCGATCCCTGGTTCCTCATCTGTGAAAGCAGATGGTGTCCCAGATGTTCTTGAAGATTATTTGTCCCTGTTACAGATTATGCACGTCACCCATCAAGTGTTTCATCTGGCTGCTGCTTACTCATCTTAATGTTAACTTTGTAATTTAAATTATATCAGATAACATTAGAAGTGAAGATAAGTTAGGTAGAAATCTATAAAGAATAGAATGTTTGCATGCAGTTTTAGACTCATTTAAAGGTAAAAATAATCCATCTAAAGACCTAGTCACCACGTCTGTCAAATGAGACTCCTGAGAAAAACCTGCAGTCCTTTCAAATGATAGGCAGTATGAAGTCAGAATGCCTGGAGTCTCTGCTGATTTTCTCACATTCCCTCTAATGTGTGTTCCCCTGGCTTCTAGACTTAAGTTACTTCCTTCTGCATTTTCAGCAAGACCAGGCTGAAACTTAAGGATCACAATGATTTATAAAAGTGAAATTCACAGAAAGAGGAAGCGAGATGTGAGGGAAAAAGCTATGTTGGAGGCAGTACATTAATTTCTCCATAGTGACTGGAGAAAGAAGAGAAGGATAAACAGGCAGATGTGGAATGTGTGTTGCAACTATCAGTTATTGTTAGCTGCTCCAAGCACCCACAAAAAATAAACAAAACAAAAAAAAACTGCCCTGTGAATCTTGGATAACAACAACTTGTCACAGCTCACCATCAGAGATCTGTAAAAATGTGTCCCATTGTCTTACCGTATTAGGGAATTTTAGATGAGGCAAACCGTACACATGGAAAGGATTAGGATTTAGAAACTTTCTCAAAGTCAGATGTGGTGGATTGGGGTTGTGGAAAGGACAAACAATATTTTGGATCGTTTGTGAGCCTAATATATAGTTACAAGCAGTTCACAATTAGGTACACTTTGACTCATTATGTCACTTGCTCTTTGAAACGACACCGTGAGGTGTGTAGGATAGTTGTTAATATTACCATCATCCAGTTACAAATGGGGGGTTAGTAACCACACAGAGTAAATGCTTTTTTCCAACTAAAAAAACACTAGGAGTTGGAGCCAGTTCTCTCAAACTTAGGTCTCTTCTGATGCTTGTGATCATTTTCACAACTTCTAGAGAGATTCAAACCCTGCAATGCCAGCCTAAGGTCTCTTTTCGCTCTTTCTCCTTGCCCATTGCTACTAAAACACAGCATTCCCCTGGCCCCGCTACTTAGATGTTGATATCTTTGGGCTCAAAACCTCTGCAGAGGCAGAGGGAGAAGTCAGGGAAGGTAGGCTAGTCTACACAGGACCTAGAAGAGCAGGAGTCAGGTCAAGGACTATATTTTCTGCATCTCTCATTGTCCATGGGCCAAGAGCACAAATACTGAAGCCAGATTACCTGGGTGGAAGCTGAGTTTTGGGATTTATTAGCTGAATGACTTTGAACGAGCTCGTTAACCCCTCTGTGCCTCAGACTCCTCATTTGTAAAATGTGGATTGTCAGCTTCTCACAGAGCTGTAAGGACGTTTTTGAGTTATTAGATGTTAAGTGTTCCATGGGTTGGAGGTCATGACTGTGGTGTTGAGCTCCTGGAGTGCATGCACTTTGGGACTATAACTTTCTGTCCACGACCATGCTTGAGCTCTCCCATCTTATAGGGAGACAAATGCAGTCCAGGTTTTGATACTGCTTTGATCACCAACTGCTTCTCTAGTTATCCTTTCAAGGCAAACTCTTTAGAAAGAGACAGAAGTCTGTCTGTCTCATTCTACTTCCCCACTTCTGAGTCATCCCACCCTCCTCTCTTCCTGAACTTACTCTGGGCTCGCCACTGACTATCTTCCTAATTATCAAATCCAGTGACTTTCCCTCACTTTCCTGTGGTTTTCCATCTCCTTGGCTCTTTAAAAAAAATTATTATTATTTTTTCTTGCTAACCAGCTACATCCTAGGATGTGGTTCTTGCTTGGCCTTAAGTGAGGTTTCTCTAAATCCTTTTCCTTCTTAATTCTTCAGCTGTTTCTTTTTTCTTCACCACAAGTAGGCAAGCTGCAAGTCTCTTGTTTTTTTTATTTAAAAAATATGTATTGTATGTACTGAATGTCCTTCCTACCATCTCCTAATGTACTTTATAATTCCTATTCCATTATAGTGTACACACAATGTGTGCACACACATGTACATATACATACCATGTATATGTACATGATATATGAGAGCATATATTCACTATATATGCATACACTATATATATAAACTATATAGATATATATACATTATTATAAACATGCACATGTATGTATTTATAAACTACATATACACAATAGTCTCTATATGCACAGTATATATACAGACATAAGATATATACATTACATGTACATGCACACTGTATATGTACACATATATGTATGCAGATACAAACATGCTATACATGGATACTAAATATGTATAAAACTCTGTCTATATATACACATTTTCTTCTCTTTCTCTTTTTCTCTTTCTCTTTTCTTTCATTCCCTTCTCATTCTCTCTCGCTCAATACACACTACCATTTTTGTCCTATTTACCTCTACAACTATACCTATTGCTTGGTACACATTGGTTCCGTTTGCAAAAATTCTGCAGGTAATGGAAGCATAGTCCTGTCTCTTTGCATCCATTCCTTCTTGTTCTTCTCTATCCTCCATCCCTACTCTATCCCAACTTCCTGCTTCATCCATGTTCATAACTCATAATCTCTGTTCTAGAGAAGGTAACAGTGTTCTTGGATAGTCAATCATGAAAATGTGTCTAACCTAATATGGTCAGTGCTGTAATGGGGAATATTAACAGGTTGCTAAGGGAACCTAAAGAAAGTGGACCATTGGAAGGAAATCATGGAAGATTTGTATGGGTTCATCAGGCAAGGAAAGGGTATACCTGGCAGAATATATAGTAGTTGCAACATTGGAGAGAGATGAAAGAACTTAACATTCTTGAAATCTGAAGGAAGATCAGAGCACTGCATGAGACAGTGAAGAACTCTACTTTTGTTCAACAAGGCCTGGTTTTGGGGCCCTGTGGTATGCATTTCCTGTCTTGCTTCTTGATAAGCCATTGTCACTGCTTAGGACTGTTTACTCACCTAACTATGTCACAAGAGTTTTGAGAGACCATACATAAAATAAATTTGAAGCAAATGTTAGGGTTTGCTATAATTTGTTGATGTATAATGAATAGATGGACAAATTCATTTAAAACTGAATGTGAGCAATGTAGGTAGAAGGTAAGGAGTTCTACAGATTTTAAGCAAAGATGTGATGTGATTATATCTGTTTAGGGTAATAACTGTCAACAGAGAATAGTGCTAGTTACTCCAGTTAGGAAACCATGGCAAATTCTGTCTGGGTCCTAATCCTGGCTCTACTGCTTGTTTAATTTGTGATCTAAGCAAGTTGCTTAATCTCTTTAAGGCTCAATTTCCTCATATGTATAAAGTGTGGTGAAGAATAAGAAAGATAACAATTGTCACACAGCCTTATACACTGCAAACACTCTGTAGATAGTTGTTCTTTTATTTAAATTGTTACAAAAGTGTTATGATTAAACATGAGACATAATGAGCTGCTCCCAAAGAAAGAGTAGGCAGGATATATAAAAAGAAATGGATTTCTTTTTGATTTAAAAAGTTACCTTTTATAAAAGTAAAATATGCACATGGTAAGATTGCAAACACTGGAAAAGAACTGAAAAGTGTAAAGTTAACCTCTATTAACATTCTATTAACTAAGTCTCATTGCAGATGTAATTCTATAACCCTTTCTTGGGTACCAAACCCAAAAGTTAATCATTCAACCTCTCTGTCTCTGTGTCTGTCTGTCTCTCAACTACCTCCTCCTCCTCTGTTTAAGCTGTCATTAAATGGTTTTTAGAGGTTAAAAAAAGAAAATTAGTGTGGACAGACATTCTTTGCGTGAAGCACCAAAGACATTTTCTTCCTCCAAATATTTTGCTTATTTGCTTTTTTATATA